CGCCGTTGTCTCTTCATCCATTTCAAAGTTTAGATGTTTGTCTTTGACAGCAGCTTGTTTTCAGACATCAGGATGAGTCACTCCTGTTGGTTTTTACAGTTTTTCATGAACTTTAATTTGCCAGATATGCCTTAGGTTCTCTGTCGGGTTCACCCTTCTCTCCTAGGCGGCGAGCCCCCTCCGCCCCATCCTGCTGCCTTCGGTGTCCCTAATCTCCCTGAATTATGAATCATCTGTCGCATTCGCCTCAGTGCTCAGACACACTGACGCATGGCGGTGGCAGCTCCAGAAGAAAGTCGGCATCAGGCCGTCAGCTTTTGGCTGCTGGACCCACGGAGCCGTCTTGATGTGCTCCAGTCCTTTGGGATGCACCCAGCGGGGACACTTGAGCATCAGTCAGTGGGACAATGCTGCTTCTCTCTCTGTCGCTGGCAGAGACTCGGTTCATCCTCTTCCTTCCCTTTCATCAACCAGCCAGCGTGGGGGGGGGGTCTGTTTTCCTTTAGCTTCTACCAAGCCTTAAAGGTAAACTATTCCTCCCAGATTTCTACTGTTAAACCTAAACGGTCCGTATAAATTAGAATTCTCCGTCTGAAGGATCATGATGTTTCCTGCTGAATCTGAACTTCACGGCGTTGGGTGGACTCCTGCCGGGCGGTGCAGACACAACATTTGTTGCTACTAAGTTGGGTTTGTTGCTTTCGTTACCCGTTTCCCTTCCTCCTTTATCCGTTTGAGCTGTAACGTGACCCTGGTCAGCACTCAGGCACCTCCTCAGAGACCGCTCACATTTCCTCTGGTTCACAGCAGCGAACCCAGAGGGAGTAAACAGCTCCGCTCCGTGTTTACAGCCACCGAGCTCCATCCACTGGCCTAATTCCAGTTCATTAGAGAAGCGGCGGTGAACCGCTGACAGAACAAGGGCCCATCAGCCATTCTGCTGCTGCTCTTCCTACTTTATTCATTCCGAAGAGGTTGCGTGTGTTGTTTTGGGAAGTTTCCGGATCAGATCACAGGAGCTTTGTGCTTTTCATGCACGTTTTTCATAAACTGACATGTTGCAGAAGGAAACAGCAGTAACATTGAATGGTGACTCTGCTGCAGACGTGTTTGAGTCTCTAATGATCACCTTTAGCTGCGTGCTCATTTTACAGCATGTAGAGCTTCTCTGATTAAACTTCCTGTCTGCTACCTGGACAGCCTCACAGGCGTGCTGAGTCCGATAAAACGCTGACCACCACCACAGCAAGTCCACTAGCCAATGCGAGCGGCTATTCCAGTTTGCCCCAAGCTGCCGTCACGGTGCAGCGACGACGGGAACGGGGCAAACCGGCGGGGGTCAGCGGAGCATGTTGAGCTTTATCCCGTCGACACAGCTTGGACCTCAGGTCTGAGGAGAAGACAGGACTGCCTGGATGATGGATGGAGCTTGTCTGGAGGAGGGGCTGGTGTTGGAGCAGGATGTGAGTCAAAGTCTTGTGGGAAACCGATAAGACGTACAGGAGTGTGAGTGGTCTGACATGGTGTGTGTGTGTGTGTGTGTGTGTGGGGTGGGAGGGGGGGGGTCTGTGTGTCCTACAGTTCATCATCAGTCCAGATGGCGCGGGGAGCTTTACAGATGTGTGCAGGAATAATCTGCTTTATTTGCTTGTCAGCCCTAACACGAAGACTAGCAAGTCTGTCAGGAATCGCGTTCAGAGCAGATCAACGCCGCAACGCCTTCGTCTCCCTGGAGGTGTGTGTGTGTGTGTTTTCTGCTCAAATCTCATGAACAACTGGACCGATTTAAACGAAACTCCCTGGAAGTCTCTTTCATTGGGGGTTTATTCAGACCTGAGTGGAATCGAGTACGGCCCGATTCAAGATGGCGGCCAGCCACAACGCACAACGATGGTGGTGAATGGCTCAGCTTTCTGCATGAGAGAGCAACAGTTTCAGGTGATGGTAGCTGAGAGCATAATCCCAACAGATGTTAAAGCTGAAAGTCCCCGATAGTCGTGGAAGGTGCTCCTCCCACATCAGATCTATGCCCT